AATGCCTAGTAGACATTTCGGAACAATTTCTTTAGGATTTTTCAAAAAAATTGTTTGACTTCTACAGTACACATAGACCCTCAAATCCAGCGAAAAGGCTTTCAGTCTAATTAACGTTTTATTTCAAGGTGTGTCAGCATCTTAGGAAACAAAAGAGTCAGCGTTTTGAGAAACCCAAGCATCATCTACTGAAATATCCTACATTTTTATGTAAAGAAGTAAGAGGGAGATGCATTGACAGATCTGCAAGTTAAAATACAATGGCTTTTACCCCAGATCCTGACAGGTCGAAGTACAGCTAAGTTCACCTTCTTAAAGTATCTGAGATAGACATCTTTATGTCATTACTGTTCGAAGCAGATATCTGGGAGGTGACGTGTTTCCCTTTAATATGGATAAACAAGAGGCCTCCACTTAAATGAAACTTCAGTTTGTCAACTCATTTATTTAAGGAGAGAGAGGAATATACCTAAATCCTAAAACCATGACAAAGCAGTCACTCAATAAAGGAAAATGTCATTTTACTGTCCTGACCCCAAACACAAAACTTGACCTGCTGAACTGCTTCTCATTGTGTTGCTTGGTCCAAAGGCATCAAAGATACAAGCAAAGCTGCAAGGGCCCCTTTCAAGAAATGCTCTTGAACCTACTATAGTCTCTCAAAGAAGCAAAAGTTCATCAGGTGAGCCTCTCTTGAACAAAGAAGCTTAACCCAATGAATGTCTGCCGGTTGCACTGCTGCTGACTCCAAAGCACAGAAGACAGACTTATATATGAAAATTTCATTTACAGTCCTACCTTCTTTGTTGAAAAAACCCCCACATAATTTATATTTTTATATTTTGGTGAGATGAGTTTATTGTTTACTTGTGTGGCATTAAATTTTGCTGGATTTCAAAGGTGCCTTGAGTCTTCTCTAGGGTAGAGAAAGGCGGGGTAGAAATATAATAAATAATTTAACTTAATGAACTGCTTGCCATGTCACTTGGTCCAAAGGTACAGGTGTTGTTATTGTTGTTAAAATTATTATTATAACATTTACTTATTCCTTTTTCTCTCTTAAAAGAGACTCAAAGCAGTGAACGATACCAACAAGAAAAAAAAATACAACTGGCACAGACATAACTTCAATAGACATTTTTAGGGCCCCATCTACACTGCCATATATTCTGATTTCGGAGTGCAGATTGATTGCACTGGATTATAACACAGGGTAGACTCATATAATCTAATCCAAAGCAGTTAATTTGCATTCCAAAACTGAATTATATGGCAGTGTAGATCCAGTCTAATAAGCATTCTTGAAAAGGCAGGAGTTCAAGAGATGAAACTCTTTTCTCATTCTAAAAACAATAAATAATAATTTATCCTGATGGCTTTCTGTTCACTGAAGGCACAGGCGGCACTGGCACAGGTACAGCTTCAGGTGAGTCCTTTAAAAAATATGTTCCTGCAAATAAGTGGGAGTTTAATAGGTGAAGCTTTCCTTTCATCCTTTTTTTTTTTAAAGAAGACCTTAACTTGTTGCTTTTTTTGTTTTAGGGAATAGAATTATTTATTTATTTATTACCTGGTATGGAGAGAGCTTTAAGTAGCCTTTCAGAAAATGCTATTCCCTCAAACAAGAAGAAGCTGAATAAGTAATTATTATTTATTACCTGGTACGAATAGAGCTTCTAGTGGCCCTTTAGGAAATGCTATTCCCTCAAACAAGAAGTTGCCGAATACGTAAGAATAATAATTATTTATTACCTGGCATGGGTAGAATTTCAAGTAGCCCTTTAGAAAATGTTATTCCCTCAAACAAGAAGCTGAATAAGTTATCATCATCATCATGAATTGCCTGGCACAGAGAGAGCTTCAAATTGTTCTTTAGGAAATGCTATTCCCTCAAACAAGACACTGAATAAGTTATTATTATTATTAACCTTGCACAGACACAACTTCAAGTGGCCCTTTAGAAAATGCTATTCTCTCAAACAAGGAATGAGTTGTTGTTGTTAACCTGGCACAGAGAGAGCTTGTTTATGCAATGCTTTTGATACAAAATAAATATATTAGTATTATTAATTACTGGCACAGAGAGAGCTTCAAGTGGCCCTTGAGAAAATGCTATTCCCTCAAACAAGAAGAAACCAAATAAGTCATCTGTATGCTTGTCCACAATGTCCTGCCTCATGTACAGAGGAAAGAATTGTTTAAAGTGACAGACAATGCAATTGCTGTTGCCTGTTTTTGGTCAAAAAATATTTAGCCGCTTGTGCTCCTTTTTAAAAACCAGTTTTATACTTTTTTAAGTGATGCTTTTGATACAAAATAAATATATTATTAATAATAATTACCTAGCACAGAGAGAACTTCAAGAGGCCCTTCAGAAAATGCTATTCCCTCAAACAAGAAGAAACCGAACAACTTATTATTATTGTCCAGATATATTACATTGCTCTCTCATCCAGTGTTTTTAAACTTTTAATCTTTGCAACTGGCCCTGCCCACTGTGTGTTCAATTTTTGCAAATTTATATTGTTTGTTGTGCTTATTTTGTGTGTTCAATTATTGCAATTTTATATTGTTTGTTGTGCTTATTTATATTGTTTCTTGTATTTTATTTTTTATTTTTCTTTATATGTTACTGTTGTATTTCTATGTTGTATATTTGTATTGCTGTATTGTTGGGAATGGCCTAATGTAAGCCGCCCTGAGTCCCCTTGGGGAGATGGTGGTGGGGTATAAATAAAGTTTATTATTATTATTATTGATTACCTGGCACAGCCAGAATAGCATTTCCTAAAGAACCACTTATTCCCTCAAACAAGAAGCTAAGTAATTATTATTTACTCGCCATCCCCTGCCATGCGTTGCTGTGGCCCAGTCTGTATATATGCGTTTTTGCATGTATGTGTATATATATATATATATATATATATATATATATATACACACACACACACACACACACACACACACACATACATGTGTGTGGGTGTATATATGTGTGTGAATATGTGTGTATATATTTGTGTGTTTATATGTGTGTGCTTGTCTATATGCATATTTGTGTTTATATATGTTTATATATGTGTGCATGTGTATATTTGTGTGTGTACATGTATATATGTGTGTGTATGTAGATGTGTGTGTATGTAACGATGGAATTGAACCAAACTTGGCACATGGAACTCCCCTGACCAACAGAAAACACTGGAAGGGTTTGGTGGGCATTGACCTTGAGTTTGGGAGTTGTAGTTCACCTTCATCCAGAGAGCACTGTGGACTCAAACAATGATGGATCTGGACCAAACTTGGCATGAATATTCCATATGCCCAAATATGAACACAGATGGAGTTTGGGAGAAATAGACCTTGACATTTGAGAGTTGTAGTTGCTGGATTTATAGTTCACCTACAATCAAAGAGCATTCTGAACCCCACCAATGATAGAATTGGGCCAAACTTCCCACACAGAACCCCCATGACCAACAGAAAATACTGTGTTTTCTGATGGTCTTTGGCGACCCCTCTGACACCCCTTCGCGACCCCCCCAGGGGTCCCGACCCCCAGGTTGAGAAACACTGAGATAGTAGATAGATAGATGTAGGCAAATTAGACACTCTCACGTCAACACTGACAAAGAAACAGCAAGAAATACTGTTTACCCACAAGCAGAAAGAAATAGATTAGAATCCAACAAGATACCTAACTGACCGCCTCTCGGCCTGCAAGCCCACTAGGACTTTGAGATCTTCCGGGGAGGCCCTGCTCCTGATCCCGCCTGCGTCACAGGCACGGCTGGCGGGGACGAGAGATAGGGCCTTCTCGGTGGTGGATGCTCGGCTGTGGAACACCCTTCCCGTGGACATCAGGCTAGCTCCCTCCCTGTTGATATTCCGCAGGAAGTTAAAGACCTGGCTGTTTAAGAAGGCGTTTGAACAAGAAGTACAATGACTGGTAATTTGACCATAGGAATGGAACAACGGAAATGATATCGGATTGTGGGTTTGACGATGAGACGACTCGGAATGGCTTTTGTAGTAATGATGATGTTTTGATGATGATGTTTTTGATGATGATGTTTTTGTTATTGCTGATGTGGATTTTAGATTATGTCTTGTATTTTTGAATTTTGTTCCTTTATGTTGTACACCGCTGTGAGCCGCCCCCGGGCTGAGAACAGAGGTATATAAGCAAAGTAAATAAATAAATAAATACGTTCCGACAAGTAAACAGGGCCGGAGTCGTTTAGGGCTTTATAGGTTAACACCAGCACTTTGAATTGTGCTCAGAAGCTAATTGGCAGCCAGTGGAGCTGGTGTAACAGCGGAGTGGTGTGCTCCCTGTACCCAGCACCCGTTAGTAGTCTGGCTGCCGAGCGTTGGACTAGTTGGAGCTTCCGGGCAGTCTTTAGAGGCAACCCCACGTAGAGAGCGTTGCAGTAGTCTAAACGGTAGTCCAATCTAGAGTAATCCAATCTACTCATTATGCACAGAGCATTTTTATATATATAGTAGATAGAAGATAGATAGATAGATGCAGGCAAATCAGACACTCTCACGTCAACACTGGAAAAGAAACAGCAAGAAATACTATTTACTCAGAAGCATAATATATATATATTAGAATCCAACACTTTCTAATTACTTTATTTCCCAGATCCACAGACTGGGCCACAGCAACGCCTGGCAGGGGATGGCTAGCACATATTAAAATACACAAGACAGAGATGAAACAAAGGAGACGAGTCCAAAAGCCAAGCCTAGCCTGTAAGTGGAGCAGCTTCACCTGAGGGATTCCCGCCTGTCACAGGTGGGACAGGTAGGCCTCCAGCGGGCCATTCCCTCAGCCCATTCCCTCAAAGAAGCCCGACTTCAATGGGAAAGGCTCTCCTTTCCTCCCACAGAGGAGCTTCACCTGAGGAATGGCTGCCTGTTGGGCTGCAGCTGCCTCCAAGGCCTCGGCCTGGCCCTTCCCGTCCCTTCAGCCCAAGCCTGCCTCGATTTACCTCACTCCGCGCTGCTGCTGCCGCTTCTCTTCCTTGTTTACCCCCATCTGCTCCGCTCCCGGCCCCACCACGGCGGATATCCGGTGAAGGAAAGACGCCGCCGTTGGATTGGTCGGCGCCGCGGCCAATCACGCGCCGGAGCCCGCCTCCTCGCCTTCCTCCGTCCTATCAGCGCTTTGTGATTTCCGCAGTAACTCTTGTGAGGTTCTAAACGAGGCCGGCACCTGTTGCTAAGGGAACGCCCTGTGCCTGGATTCTGATTGGACCATGCACCTGCCTATTCCTGAACGGGGTGGGGAATGCTCTGGGAGTGACAGAAGACGCAGCCAATCCGTAACAGGAGATGGTTCAAGGCTACCAATAAAAATCGAAAATCCGCTCAATAGAAAAGCCGAGTTGGTGAGAAAGAGATTGTATTTGGGACTTCAGTTCCCAGAAGCCTTAGCTACCACGGCTGGCGGGCACCTGTTGCTAAGGGAACGCCGTGTGCCTGGATTCTGATTGGACCATGGGCCTGCCTATTCCTGAACGGGGTGGGGAATGCTCTGGGAGTGACAGGAGATACAGCCAATCTGTAACAAGAGGTGGTCCAAGGCTACCAATAAAAATTGAGAATCCGCTCAATAGAAAAGCCTAGTTGGCGAGAAAGAGATTTTATTTGGGATTTCAGTTCCCAGAAGCCTTAGCTACCACGGCAAACGATGAAGGATTCTGGGAACTGAAGTCCAAAGCAGCTAGAATGCCAAAATTAGGGATTTTTATTGAACTTTTGATTTAAAAACATCCTAAATTGGTTATACATGTATCGTTATGCAAATTATGACATTTAATAATTATTAAATAATCATTAATTATTAAATTAATTATATAATTAATTGATTATTAGTTAATTATTATAATTAATTATTATAATTAATTAGTTATTATAATTAGTTATTATAATTAATTAATTATTATAATTATTATCAAATAATTATTAATTCGTTAAACTAAAAAATTATTCAACAATTATTAACTCGTTAAATGAAATAATTATTCAATCCAAAACAAAATTAGGGATTTTATTGAACTTTTAATTAAGCAACACCCTAAATTGGCATTACATGTGTCATTATGCCAATTATGACATTAAATAATTATTAATTTATGACATTAAATAATTATTAATTCGTTAAATGAAATAATTATTGAAATAACCATTAATTCGTTAAAATAACTTGTTTGTTTGTTTCTTTGATTATTAAATTAAATAATTATTAATAGGTAATTATTAAATTGATTGCTAAATTAAATAATTAGATCGGGATCAAATGTGCAGTGATGTTAATTAATTATGAATGACAGATTCATTAATTAACACGAATGGCGCACATTTAATACCGATTTAATTATTTAATTTAATGTGTTGGTCATGCTTAATTAGCTGCAATATGTCATATTTACCTTTTAGAATTTGGAATTCAAAGGCATTGGCTCTATTAATCTGGATCAGGAGCAAAAGAGTCCCTAAGGATGCATCTACACTGTAGAACTTATGTGGTTTGACACCATTTTGGCTACAATGGAGTCCTGGGAGACGTAGTTTCCCAAGTTTCCAAACTGCGACTTCCAGGATTCCATAGTATTGAGCCATGGAAGTTCAAGTGGTCTCAAACTGGATTAATTCTACAGTGTAGATGCACTTGAATAAAAGGTAAAGGTTTCCCCTTGACATTAAGTCTAGTTGTGTCCAAATCTGTGGGATGGTGCTCATCTCCTTTTCTAAACTGAAGAGCTGGCGTTGTCCGTAGACACTTCCAAGGTCACGTGGTCAGCATGACTACATGGAGCGCCATTACCTTCCCACCAAAGCAGTACCTATTGATCTATTACTGGACTGGGTTGTGGTGCAGCTGCTTGGGAGTGAACTGCATTAAAATCACTACTGACTGAGAGGTCATGAGTTCAAATCCAGCCCGGGTCGGAGTGAGCTTCCGGCCATTTGTCTAGTTTGCTGTCGACCTTTGCAGCCCGAAAGACAGTTGCATCTGTCAAGTAGGAAATTTGGGTACCACTTATGCGGGGAGGCTAATTTAACTAATTTATGATGGCATAAAACTCTCCAGTAGCGTGCAAAAAGAATGAGGAAGTACTCCGTCGGTGTCACAAGTGGATGGTGAAGCGAGAGCTCCCCCGGTGGCCGGAATTCAAAAAGCATAACCTCATGAAGCTGGAAAGTTAAATAGCATCTGTATCTCTGTCTATATATGTTGTCTGTCTATGGCATTGAATGTTTGCCATGCATATGTGCATTGTGATCTGCCGAGTCCCCTGTGGGCATACAGAAAGTACGTCCTATAAACATAGGCCCAGTGTGCAATAGCACAGTTTCCATCCTAAATATCTCAGTGTCACCCTAGATCAGGGGTCCTCAACCTTCCTCATGCTGTGACCCCTTAATACAATTCTGCATGTTGTGGTGACCCTCAACCATAAAATTATTTTACTTCCTACTTCATAACTATCATTTTGCTACGGTTATCAATCATAATGTAAATATCTGATATGCAGGATGTATTTTCATTCACTGGACCAAATTTGGCACAAATACCCGATACGCCCAAATTTGAATACTGGTGGGGTTGTGGGGTGGCGGCTTGATTTTGTCATTTGGGAGTTGTGGTTGCTGGGATTTGTATTTCACTTGCAGTCAAAGAGCATTCTGAACTCTACCAGTGATGGAATTGAACCAAGCTTGGCACAAAGAACTCCCATGGCCAACAGAAAATACTGGAAGGGTTTGGTGGGCATTGACCTTGTGTTTTGGAGTTGTAGTTCACCTCCATCCAGAGAGCACTGTGGATTCAAACGATGATGGATCTGGACCAAACTTGGCATGAATACTCAATATGACCTAATGTGAACACTGGTGGAGTTTGGGGAAAATAGTCCTTCACATTTTGGGAGTTGTAGTTGCTGGGATATGTAGCTCACCTACAATCAAATTGCATTCTGAACCCCACCAACGACAGAATTGGGCCAAACTTTCCACATAGAACCCCCATGACCAATAGAAAATACTGTGTTTTCCGGTGGTCCTTAGTGACCCCTCTGACACTCCCTCGTGACCCCTCCAGGGGTCCCGACTCGCAGGTTGAGAACCACTTCCTTAGATTGAACACTAGCATATAGGAAACACTGCTTGAACACCAAGCACAAAGTAGCTGCACGCAATAACATCCTGCGGAAATTTACTGGCAGCACATGGGGTGCAGACCCAAAATTAGTAAGAACAACAGCCCTGGCCTTGTCTTACTCAACTGCTGAATATGCCTGATCTGTTTGGCACAAGTCTGCCCATGCAAAGCAGGTGAACATAGCATTGAATGAAACATGCAGAATAATCACAGGATGTCTTAAACCTATGCTTGTTGATAAACTCTACAAGCTAGCTGGCATTGCCCCTCCTCCTGATGTGTGATGGGAAGTTGCTGCTAAATGTGAGAGAAATAAGGTGGAACACTGTGAAAGCCACCCACTACATGGCTATCAGCCTCCTCCCAGTAGACTCAAATCAAGGAAAAGCTTCATGAGAACCACCACTCTGCTTGGCATCCCCCCAGCAACAGCAAGGGTATCGCTCTGGGCAGCTAGACCAGGAAACCCCAACTGGATGGCCCCCCATGAGGGTCTTCTTCCAGGGGCAAACCGAGAATGGGTAACTTGGAAGTCCCTGAACAGACTCAGAAGTGGGGTGGGCAGATCAAAAGACAACCTGGCAAAATGGCACGACCTAAAAGAATCCCACACTTTGTGTGACTGTGGAGCAAAACAGACAACTCCGCATCTGTATGCTTGTCCACTATGCCCTGCCTCATGTACAGAGGAAGAATTGTTTAAAGCTACAGGCAATGCGGTTGCTGTTGCCCATTTTTGATCAAAATTTAGCTGCCTGCATGCCTTCTATTTTGATCAGTTTTATACTCATTTATGCAATGCTTTTGATACGAAATAAGCAAATAGAATTGATGCAGTTTGATTGCACTTCAACTTCATACTATGGAATCCTGGGAGTTGCAGTTTTGCAAGATCTTCGTCCTATTCTGCCAAAGAATGCTGGTGAGTCATGAAACTACAACTCCCATTATTCCATAGCATGGAGTCATGGCAGTTGAAGCGGTATTCATTTCACCGTGTAGATGCATCCTTAGAAAGAGACTACATATCTTTGATAAATGGTTACAGATGATGCTAGCACCTTGTTCACCTTCCTATATGTTGCTTTCCAAGCTCTGCAATAAATATGCATGAATATGCCTTGCAATCTATTCGCTCGATGCCAGGAAAATGGAAGGCGCCACTAGATGGCGGGCAACATCTGTCCTCTGTTTAGAAAATATAGAAATATTCTTTGCAAAGAGAGAGAAAGAGACATATCTCATAGATGAGAGTCACACCACATGACAATAGCGCTTTGATAGCAATTTAATTCCTCTGATAGCAATTTAATTCCTCTGTCCGAACCTTAGAGCATCTAGGATTTTTGTGTTTGTTGTGAATTGACTTCAAATCGTTTCCAGTTCATGGCGACCTTGCCTTTGCTTTGGGGCTGAGAGAGTGTGACCCATTCAAAGTCACTCCAGGGATTCGAACTCTAGTCTCCAAAGTTATAATGCAATGCTGAAACCATTACAGTATGCTGACTCTCTCTTGTATCTCGAAGGCTGCATCCACACTGTAGAATTAATGCAATCCGACCCCATTTGAAATGCCTGGTTTCTATGCAATGGAATCCTGTATGAAACAACACTACAGTATAATTCAGTTCAAAGCTGATAAACTGGATTCAGAAACTGGGTTATATGGCCATTGAGGCTGTAGACAAGGGAGGTAAATCATGGGACACTTGCTTGGAATCGCATCTCCGTTGCCTCTGTTGGATCAGGATGCTGGGACATGCGGTCCAACAATATTTGTATGGCCACATGAGTCCAAAGGTGCATCTACACGAGTGGTTCTCAACCTTCCTAATGTCGCAACCCCTTAATACAGTTTCTCATGTTGTGGTGACTCCTACATTGCTACGTCATAACTGTAATCTTGCTATGGTTATGAATCGTAAT